TGGGATTGGAGCCCAGCTCTGGGGAACTCCAGACCAGCGCCATTGTGATGCCACCTCACTGTCCTGGGAAGAAACAGGTGGGAATTACCAAGAGTGCTGACAGCAGCAGGCGAGTTAAGTATGGCGTTGGGAGGGAGGGCCAGGGACACAGGCAGCCTGACTGGACCCGCGGGAAGCTGGCACGAGGGCACATCGTAGGGGAGGGGGCAGGCGGCTGAGGTCACGACGATGTGCCCCACCCCTTCATTATGTGGACCAAATATCAAACGGGTTAAAATCTTTAAACCAGGGGTGCCTGGGTGGCTCAGTCAGTTAAACGTCTGACTCTTGATCTCAGCTCAGATCTTGATCTCAGGGTCATGAGTTCAAGCCCCACGTTGGGCTCCATGCTGGGCGTGGAGCCTACTCAAAAAAAAAATCTTGGGGCGCCTGGGTGGCTCAGTTGGTTAAGCGACTGCCTTCAGCTCAGGTCATGATCCTGGAGTCCCGGGATCGAGTCCCGCATCGGGCCCCCTGCTCAGCGGGGAGTCTGCTTCTCCCTCTGACCCTCCCCCATCTCATGCTCTCTCTCTCTCTCAAATAAATAAAAATCTTAAAAAAAAAAATCTTAAAACTAGGGGGAATAGTATCTGATTTCTGGATGGCAAGGGCTTTCTAGACTCAAAAGTGATGGGAAAAGCCACAGAGGAAATTAAGTATATAGATTTGATTTCCTCAAAATATTAAAATGTTATAAATTTAAAACCCCACTTAAAAGGAGGGAATTGCGGCATCACGGATGGTGAATATATACCTTAAAAACGTGTACACACCAGTCGGAGGAACACCCAAGGCCCTCGTACGGACACCGATGAAAGGGTGTCGCTCAGCAAACGCCTGGCGCCCAGGTGGGACGTGGACAGAGCAAGGAGAGCAGCCTTAAAACCTGCAGACCCACCAAGTCCACTCTGGGACCTGTCCCCAAGAAGAAATCCTAAGTTGCGGGGAGACATATGGCGCAGGCCTGTTTGTGACCCCGGCCTCTAGGAGCGGCCTGACAGGGTCGGGAACCACTGTCACAGAGCGGGGGGCCTGGGGGAAAGGGACCACGACCTGACTGCATCCACGCGCACCGCCGGCTGTGCGTAAGGACGTGGTCTGGCAGAAGACCGTACAGAGGGCGAGAGAGAGAGAGAGGGAGGGAGACAGGCTGGGAGGGAGAGAGAAGGGATGGGGAACCATCTAAGCACATGTGCTCGTACCCGTCTAACTTCCGGTGGGTTTGCCAGAGGGGCACTGGGGGGCCGAAGGAACGAGCTCCCTACACGGCTGGTCACGGTGGTTGCCTGTGGTCTAGACCTTTTTGTACCTTTTGAATTTCAAGCCATGTAAATGTATTATTTATTTCAAAATAAATAAAATTCACATTTTAAACACACTGCTAACGTTGACTCCTTATGCCATCAACACTGGTGAGTCAAATGTCACAAAGTAAACACCAAAGACTTCTGAGAAACCCTATTTACAAAGCATTTTACAATATAGGAAAATGCTTATAGTAAGTTTAAAAATACTCAATTATTTATCTGATGTCACGTATGTAAAGAGTATGCATAGAAGAATGTTATATTTATAGATGTGCATGGAAAAAACTGGAAGAAAATACACCCAGATGCTAGCTGTGGTTGTCTGGTTGGTGGGGTGGCGGCAGGTAGTTGGCCCCTATATTTGGCAGCCACACGGGGAGGGGTGGGGGGGGGACAGGATGACGTTTCCATGCGGAAGCCCAGCCACGCCCTGCCCCGGTTTTCCCTGCGGTTCCAGTGTTCCACCTGGAGCGTGAATGCTAGAAGCAGAAATTCTTTTTACAAATCACTGAAGACCGAAATCTCTATCTTGATTGGGGTGGTGGTTACGTGTGTGTAGACATTTGTCAGAACTCCTCAGACAACACATGTAAGGTCTGTGCATCTCAGGGCGCCTGGCTGGCTCAGTGGGGAGAGAGTGTGATTCTTGATCTTGGGGTCATGAGTTCAAGCCCCACACTGGGTGTAAAGCCTATTTTTAAAAATTTAAAAAAAAAAAGGGGGGGGGTCTCTTTCCATCTTTAAAAATATATAAAGTCTGTGCATCTATCATAGGTCAGTCATGCCTCCGTTTTACATACAGCCGGACTGAACCACAGGGGAGCCCCGCCCCCTGGAACAGGCAAGAACACTGCACGGCCTTCCCCCGACCGCCCCGGCTGCCCTCCTTCCCGGCTCCCAGGAAGCATCCCTGTTCTGAACAGGACTGGCGGTATTTCAGGAAACTGCTCTCAGTCCAGGAGCTTGAGGCTGGTGAAGCAATTGGGAGGAAGGGAAATCAGAGTAACTTGCATTGAGGTGGCATCCGGCTGAAGTCGGTGCGCGGCCCTTAGCCCCTGCCCTCATGGCCACCTCCCCCAGGCCGCCCCGACAGCACGGGTGGTCCCGTGGTGCCCCTTCTGGGTTCCCAGCCCGAGATCACGAACCCCTCTGCGGAGGAGCGGTCCAGCCTCCCCTGTCCTCCCCAGCAGGTATGTGGGGTGACGAGACTCTGGCCCCTGAGCTCTTAACAGGGTGGGATTCACCGGGCCGCTGGGTGGGCCGCAGTCAGGTTTTCCTTAGAAAGACTGGAATGAGTGAACCAAACACGCGAACCAACGTGCTTCACTCCAGAGGAAAGGGGGCCTCGTTCCGGGCAGAGAGAGCAGTTGCCTCTGAGAAGCCAGCGAGGCCACCTGCCAACGACCAAGAGCTGAGTCGCTGGCTGCCCCTTCTGGGGCTGGAGGACCCCAGGGCCTGATAACCCAAACGCTAGGTACTTCCTGCCCAGCCTCCTGCCCTTTCTCTGGCCAGCAGTGGCCACCAGATAACCCCGAGGCTCCACTTATCACCCTGCACCATTTCCCTAGGTCCTCTGCACTCAGAGGCCTGCAGTGGCCTGAGCCAGGCGTCCCCCATGAGTCTCAGTGGGAGCTGTGCCAGGAATCGGGCCCCACTCCGCTGCCATCAGGCAGAGATGCCGGCCTGACCTTGCTTTCCTCAGCCCTCGGAGCAGCTCCAAGCAGTGTGAACTCCATTACCCTCCTGGCTCCTGGCCCACCCACCCACAGCAAGGAGGACATCAGGGGGCCAGTACCCTCCTCCTGTGCTCTCAGCCTTCCAAGGCCTAGGGCCCCCAAAGTCAGCCAGCAAATGATGGAGCAGTCCCCGCAGCTTCTGCTTCCTAGTCACCCTCCCACCAAACCACCCAACTTGGGCCCCAGAACTTCCCTGAACATGTTCAGGCTGGGCCCCCAGGCTGCGGTGCCCAGAATGATCCAGCCCAGGTCCTGCCTCCTGCTTGCCTGACAATCGGTTCTGTGGGGTGCCCCTTCCATGGCCTCCCAGGGAGCCGCTAGGCAGGGCAGCTGCACCTCTGCATCACCCTAGTCCCAGCCCAGGGGCCTCAAAGGGGCAGCTGTAGGTGTAGAGTGGAAGGGAAGAGGGGCCCAGGAGGGTTGATCCACCGAGGACAGAGCTGGGCCTGGGGAGACATGACGGGAAGTCTGTAGGCCCAGGCTCCCTGCTGGGCTTTCTAGGCAGAGGCTGCTGCTGGTGGCTCCAGGCACCAAGGGTTCCCCAACGACTCCACAGGCCCACGGCCCCCAAGCCACCTGCTACTCTGAGCCACTGTCTCCACCTTCATCCACCCCCAAAAGCAACCAGCCCTCCCCCCGACAATGGCATCGCTGACACGAAGACCTGGGACTGCCTAGAGGAACCAGACGTTCCTGATGCCCCAAGTTTTGAGCTGGGAGAGAGGTTAGTATCCATTGCCCCCAAGTGTCCATGCTCAGAGAAGCTACTTAACTGGCCCACAGGACACACAGCAGAAGGGAGCAGCCCTCACTCCCACCTGCAATCCACGACCAGCCCCTGGCCGTGCACGCCTCCTTTCTCCCCTCCTCCTACCATCAGGCAGACCTTTAGCCTTCTGCTTCTGGCAGCACATCGTGGCCCTCCAGCCCTGGCTGGCGCAGGTTGAATTTCATAGCCCAGTGGAATTCCCTGGGCAGGGCCGCCTGGCCACCCTCCCTGGCCTCAAGGCTCCTCAGGGCATGGACGCAGTTCTTCAGCCAGTCCCTTTGTCCTGAAGGGCAGCACATCTGTTAACAGGTCATTTTCAGAACCTTCCGGCAGAAGCCAGCTCCACGGGCTGGGCCAGGAGCCCGCGCCCACCAGGTGCTGCAGCCTCCCCGTCGTCACCCACAGTCTCCACCTGACCACCACTGGGGGCTGGGCCGGGGGGTACACGGGAGCCCACACCCAGGGCCGGACGGTGGTCAGGACACCATATCCCACCTGACAGGGTGGAGCAAGGGGCCAGGGGTTTCACAGCAGAGATGAGAAAAGCAGGAGCCCCAGGACTAGGTGCCTGCTACTCGTCAGGGAAGAGCAAAAGGAGTGACAGGGACAAGCCCAGGCTGGGATACACCAGTATCGGCGGGGGGTGTCACAAGGATACCCACGGAGGAGCAGGGGGCCAGCTGGGGATGGGAAGAGCCAGGGGGCACCAGCACAGCAGGCCTTCCTGCCCTCCTCTGCCCCACACAGGAATTTGCAAGGGCCCCACGTGCCTAACGCACGGACGAACTCCTCCCAGGGTTCCACAGGACCTGCTCTCTCAGCCTCTGCACATGGCTGTGCCCACGCTTAGGCCCGTCAGTCCACACCCCCTGCCCCTGCCCAATTCCTGTGCTCAGCTGTCACTCCCTCTGGGACACTTAGTCCTGGAGGCTCTAGATCAAGATGGGAGGCTGGCATGGCCCTCACCGACCTCGGTGGCTGGGAAGCTAGTGGAGGGTAGGGCCTGACTCTAGAGAGTCGCATGACCCCTAAACCCTTGCAAAAGGGGGAGGGAAGCGGGGAGCTGAGCTCAGCCAGACCCAGGAAACCTGCAGCTGGGGGCCCACCTGCCCAGCCCACAATGCGCGCAACATACGAAGCAGAGACTCTCCCGTACAGAGATCAATATATGTAAAGTGCTGGGTACAACGCTCTGAAAAATAGATTTTCCAAAAATCCAGCGCCCAGGGGGACCCCCCCCCCAGGGTCTAGCCGTTGCCCGAGAGGTCCAGCGGCTGCAGGAAGGGCGGCAGCGGCAGCTCGTCCAGGGCCTCGGGGAAGCGTCCGGGCGAGATGGCGGTGACCAGCACCTGCATAGCGCGCACGAAGAGCGAGGGCGGCGCCAGGCCCGCCAGCCACTGGAACTTGTCCTCGCCCAGCAGCCGCTGCCAGCGCGGCCGGTCGCCCAGCAGCTCTCGGCGGGCGGGACCGGCGGCGCCGGTGGGCGCGTACAGCGCCAGCAGGTCGAGCAGCAGCAGGCGGCGCTGGCGTGGCTCCCCAGGAGCGGTGGGCGCCCCGGAGGCGTGGTTGGTGGCCCCGGCGTCGCGGCCCAGCTGGCGCAGCAGCAGCTCCAGCGGCGTCAGGCCGCCGCCGTCGTGCAGGCCGGGCGACGCGCCGTGGCCGAGCAGCAGGAAGAGGCACTCGGGGCGCGCCAGCTCGCAGGCCACGTGCAGCGCCGTGCCACCGCCCTCCACGCGGCTGCAGCCGCGCCGGTCGAGCACGCGCGCGCGCTCCTCGGGCGGGAAGTCGCGCACGGTGCGCAGGATGCGGCGCAGGATGCCCACGCGGTTGTAGCGCACGGCCAGCGCCACGTGCGGTCCGGGCGCGGCGCAGCAGCGGAAGCCGGCGCTGGGCGGCGCGAGCGCGCGGCGCGGGAACGTGGCCAGCAGGTAGTGCGCGTACGCCTGGTGGTCGTGCACGAGCGCGTAGAGAAGCGCCTCGGAGGGCGAGTAGGCGGCGGCGCGGCCGCGCTCGTCCCAATGGAAGGCCTCGCTGGCGCGCATGTCCTCGAGCAGCCACACGGGCAGCAGGTCGCGAACGGCCTGGTAGAAGGCGAACGACGACTTGCGACACTGCTTCTGCGCCCGGGAGCGCGCCGCGCCCGCGCCCTCGGGCCCGCCGTCCGCGCCGCCCCCGGGCCGCCTTGCGTCCCAAGGCATGCTGGTGGCGGCGGGGCGCCTCCGGGCCTCACAGCATGGGCCTGGCGGCTGACCACCTGCGGGGAGGAGATCGCGGTGAGGCTCCGGTGAGGCTCCCACAGCCCCACCTGTCAGGGAGCTCCAGCTGCTCTCCACAGCTCCCTTCTCTCCTAGGCCCTGCACCACCTCCCACATTCTTGATCGAGCTGCACCTGATCTCCCAACCTTTTTGTGTCTTGTTCTCTGGCACCTCTGCTAGAGATGCTCTTCCCTGCCCCCTACCTCCACAGCCCCACCCACCCTCAAGGCCACCCTGAAAACCGACCTCCCCCCTTCCTCCAGGGACCCGGTGACCTGGCTGACCAGGTACTTCCAACCCCAAACAGAAAAGACGGGTGGGGGAGGCAGGTAGTGGTAAAATGTTGTAATCCACATCTCCAGCAGGGCCAAGCCCCTCCTAACCATGACCCTATCCCTCTGACCACAGATAGGGGCCCCTAGAGCCTCCCCCCATGCCAGGCAGGGTCAGAGTCCAGACCTACCTGGTTCCTGGACTGCGATCACAGGAGATCACAGGACGTGAGTGTATCACTTTCCTTCTCTGAGCCTCAACTTCCTCATCTGTAAGAAAGGGGATGGGAGGAATGCACGCTGTGAGCCCCAGTAGGGTGAGATGGGGTGGATGATGTTTGCTGGATATCAGCAACCCGAGCTTCCAGCAACCTAGAAACGTTGAGCACAACTCTTCACAGCAAATCCTCTCCAGGCCTGCTACTTCTCTTGATCTTCCCAACTACTAGATGAAGCAGGTACTGTCATCCCATTTTCCAGCAAGGGGCAAGCTTGTCCAAGGTCAGTCAGCCGGTCATGGTACAGCCAGGCCTACAACCCAGATTTCGTCCCTCCCATTTTGGGCTCATTCCAGAAGTGGGGGGATCCCCAACCCACAGGGAGCCCAGCTTGATCCCTACCTGACCTTGCCCTCTGAGCCCCCAGCCCCAACCTGAGCCCTGGCCTCTGACCCCTGACCCTGGTCCAAGCTCCCCACTGCTTTCCCTCAAGGGTAAGCCCTTGGTCACAAGGGGGCTGGGTCAGCGGACAGGCCGCGTCCACACACACTGGGTAACTAAGTTACAGAGACGGGCACGGTGGGCGTGGGCTGCAGCCACAGCGCTCTTCCGGGGGGGGGCACCATGACCGGAACAACCCCCCAAGCCTGGGACTCTGTGCCCCAGGTGTATGTACCCCGTGCTGATACCCGTGGGGCGCCAGGCGGGTTACGTAAAGTTGGGCCGCCCCACGTCACTGGGCAGCGAGTCACGGCCGCGGCTCCGTGAATGGGGGGTTGGGCCACCGAGGGCTGGGTTGTGTGCCCGGGGGCCAGCTCCTCCCCGTCCCCTCCCGGCGGCCGCGGGGTCGCGGGGGTCTAGGCCCGGGTGTTTGCCGACCGGTGGCCAGTGCAGTAAGAGCTGCACCTGCGTGTGCATGTGTCCAGGAAACACGAGGGGGCGGTGGCCAGGGGAGACCGCCCGGGGCGGGGGCTGTGCGCCGAGCGGGCCGGGGGAAGGGGGGACTCACCGTGGGAGGCGGCGGGGCCGGGGACCTGACGTCCCAGTCCCCGCTGAGGTCCGGAGCGCGCACCGTTCCCCCGCGGGTAGGCGCGCAGGCGAAGGTCCCAAGACTGGCGGGCG